AACAAACACCCGAAGAATTAAAAAAAAATAAACTTTTACTTGAAGAAATGTCTGGTCTTGCTGATCAATTTGTATCCAATGGTGAACTTGATATTTATCAAGAAACTTATGAACGTCTTAAAACAAAACTTGATCGTCTTCAATCATCAAATAGTTCAAAAACAACAACAGATTCAGCATTTAATATGTATGGTGATAGTGATGTTTCGTCATCTGTAAATAAATCAACATCATCAAAGAACATAAATAGTAAAAGAAAAAAAAAATAATTTTTATTTTTATTTCATGTTTGTTTGTTTTTTGTTAAGCTTCATCATCAGAAGTTCTTTGGGAATATACAACAGATGGAAATTCAACAGAAAATCTTCAAGGTCCATTTACAACTGAACAAATGGTTCGTTTAATAAATACAGAAGGAAAATTAGATAAAAATAAAGTATTATGTCGTCGTATTGGTACAGAACAATTCTATTCAATAAAACGTATTGATTTTGATCTTTATCTTGATTAGAATATTCATTTGTAAATAAAATTTTTTCTTTTTCATTCATTCATTCAATAAAAGACAGCAACTACTTCTGATCATTATAATCATTACTTTCACTCTTGATTTTCTCATGCATATAAATGAAGATACAAAATCAATGTTTTAAAATATAAGGAAACATCCAGTGGAAATTAGATGATGATTTGACATGCGTCAGATTACTTTAAAAGATTGGGATATATATATTAATCGATGTCATGCAAAGATATTAGAAAAGTTTTTTATGCAAGATTGAAATTAGCACGAGTTTACGTCAAAGTTTCGCACGGTTGATCCGTATCATTGCCTACGCATCGTTTAGTCTTTCGCTCTATTAATATCTTTCATAAACGATAATTTGTTTCATTAATGTTCTTATAGAACGATCCCAATCATGAGAATGACGTTGTGTATTGTCCGTGCAATTTTACCGCGTTGACTAAAGCACGCAACTATTTATTGAAGATTTTGCTTTTATAGATTTATTTCAACTTCTATAATGCTTGTGAGACATATGTTTGAGAAAAAAAAACGTTGAAAGGAAATTTTGCTGGAAAACTCTGGCTTTTAGAGGATTAGATTTTGGGACATCACGACTTCCATTAAACTTTGTCCGATTGGATTGAACAATTTTTTTTTGAAATACTTAAGACTATATCCCAGAGGTAATTTTAAACTATTCCAAAAATTTCACTTTCTTTTTTCTCTATGAGAGAAATATGTACAGAGTTGATGTTAAAGCTAGGGTCTTGACTTTCAGTATTCTGTAAATTCGGACAATAAAGTCAAAAAAAAAAACGGCTGACTTTACCTCTGAAAAATATTTTCAAGTATCAATGGTAAAAATGTCATTCCGATTGAACAAAGCTAGATGTGGATTGTAAGCAACTAGAATGCAACCCTATAGAACAACAGGATTTTTCAGAGAAATAGCAAAAATTCACTTCAAAATGTTTTTTCTCGAACTATTGTTCCTTTGTTTTTGATATAAATATTTCAGCTTGATCGGCTATATCATTTTCAAGAACTAGAAATGGTAAAAAAAAAAGAGCTGGATAATCTTAGCAATGTACATCGCTCATAGTTCGCGACTTCATACGAGATATTATAAATAAAAGAAAAAAAGAATTCTTTTTACTAATTTTACTATTCTCTTATTCAAATTTTGTTATTTCTTTTGTTTGTACTGTTTACTATTATTTGTTGAAGTCATGCACTCAATATTTAGTTATATTGTGTCATACAATTTCATCAATATAGTCTCAGGAATGAACTAATCTTATTAGTATTCATATCCACATATTTTGAACTTCAAGTGCAGAAAGTAAACAACCTTTTTTTTTTTCTTATGAAATAAAAATGTTCTATTTCCCTTTAATTCAAGTGACTAGATATAAAAAAATTGTTGATGAAACACGTGATATTCGATTACTAGAAACTGTTTTTAAAAGTTGACTTTAAATAATAAAATATCGAATATTATTTATTTTCTTAATGAAAATAAAAATTGATTTTTAAAAGTTCAATAGATAACATTTAAAATAAAATGTGTTATTGAAATAAAATTTTTTTCGAGCATTAATAATTCAACTGAATGCATTAAATTTTGACAAACTTGAATAAACCTCATAATTAAACAATTTTATATTGAGAGATTGAAATAATCAGATGTTTATATGAAAGAAAATAAACGGAACTGTGAATTATAATTTGTTTCTTTTTTTAGGAAGGATTCAAAGAGTTTACAGAGTAAAAGATGATTTGTAAATCTATGAACACATGTCATCTATGAAAAGGCGAGCATATTATTTGATTCATTACCAGATTATGTAGCTACTTCATTTCCACTTCGACGAAAATCAATGCTAACCTGATCCAAATTGAATTATATACAAAAAAAAATGTTACACCTAATTTCTTGTAAATAAATATACTTTATTTAATAAAAAGATGATTTTCATCGCGCTTCAAAAAAACAAAGCCAATGCCAAGGAAGCGTGAAAATCAGAAACAGTCTCAAAATATCAGTGAAGATAGTCACCGATAGAAAGCCATGTTAACGAGCATCACACAATCGCACCTTACTTTGCCTAGAGACAATTTTTGTCTCATATGCATGACGGTATAAATTTCTTAAAATAAAGTGTTTCGTTTTTTTGAACACTCCAGTACGAATAGAAAAATAAAATTAAGAACACTGCGAAAAAAATGTATAATTAAACAAGATATAACTAAACATACATATATTCTTACAATGTACTCATTTTAATCATAACCTATTTTGGAATTACACTAACACAAATTTAGGTTTCAGGTAAATTTCGATATTATACTAGTCATACTGAAACTCATTTAGTTTTTAGTAAAATTGACTTGACTATCAGAATAGCTTTTAATCAGCTTTGGTTACAATTTAACTTGTAAATTTAACAAATAAATTTCAAAAATGATACACTCAAACGAACGCTATGGTATAAAGCATGAATCTGTCGACAATTAAATATTTTCATTTGACTCTCAGCGTTTGATTTATCTTCTTTAAAAACAAAAATCTTTGCAAGAGAGTTTAACAGATGGTATGATAAAGATGCGACAACTCATTGGACATAAGAAGAGAAACAAGATCGGAGCAACTGTCAAAAAATTGAGTCATAATCAAGGGGGGAAAGCGGATCCTGGTAGATTCATCAAGATCCGCTTTCCTCCTTTGGTCATATTAGTTTTTAGAGCACGGATATTTAGTGCGCAAGACATGGCCTCCTTCATGCAGACGGTCTACACCTCCGAGTCATTTACTTGCTTTTTGTGTTTCATTTATTAAGAGCATCAAATTTTGTTCTCTTGTTTTAAAGGTTTGTAGATGCGATTGATCTTTGAGTTCCATCAAACCAAGTAATCTGTATGTTATTCTCTTACACTTTTCTTTTTTACTTTTCGAAATTAACTTTAAGTTTTGTTTTTTATTGTTTGTAATTCTTTTAGGTTGAAATTGTATTCAATTAACTAATTCAAATAAATTTGATAAAGAACCCTGCTGAATTGGAAGATCAATCAACAACTTCGATTCCATATATATGATTTTGTAGAGCTGCTTGTGGCGCAACGAACGATATATAAAAAATCAACTTNAGGTACTGCTGCTTCGAGTATAATATGGCCTATACCAAAGAGATTAGAATAAGTTGTAGCAATTGATTGTATCTCCACGGCGAAATATAGAGTCTCTGTTGGATGATCGTCATTTTGCTAGTAATTTGTCTCCAATCTCGTCGAGTCATGAGATGATTATCCTTCGGATCGGTTTTTCATAAAAAATTCCTTTTTCTAAAACCTATCTTATTTGATACAGTTTTCTGCACTGGTTTTGAATATGGTAACCATGCTGTGAAAAACGGCTAAATACAAATACCATTTCAACAGCACTATATGGTTTTTCTACTTAGCACAGCAATCGTGGCCCCTACTAAAATCTCTTGCACATCATTTTGTACTTCGAATGAGATATACCTAGGATCCAAAAATTCTCAATTCAAAGAAATTCAAGGAAATCAAGCAATTGAAGAAATCAAAGGAAATTCTAGAAATTCAAGAAACGTGCATACCATAACGAGTTATAAGTCTACCCTAGGATGGAATTCAAGAAAATCATGAAATTATATGATATGCTGAATTTAGACTTCTGCAAAGTGGTCACGGTCACGATCTCTCGTGACCGTGACCAAATAGCTCATGATTGTGACTTAACGGTGAAAATTTTCATTTTAAAAGTCTAATTTTTGTGAAAAAAAATCAAGATTTTGATTGATTTACAGTTTTTCTTTGTTTTATTATCCAAGAAATCTACGAAATCAATTTAAATATTGATTTTGTAGCACAAAAATCCAACTAGTAATCCAAAATTTCCGTGACTGTGACGTGATGTGACCGAAAAATCGTGATCACGCAGAAATCTAGTTGAATTTCTTGAATTCCATGATTCTTTCAAGCAATATGCTTAGGTTAAATGGATGTGTTGAATTCCTTGATTTACTTAAATTGTCTTGAATTGCCACGTTTTGGATTCTAGGTACTGCTGCTTCGAGTATAATATCAAAAGATGTAGTATTTCGCGGGCTTCCAGAAACCAGATTCATTTTTTTTGGGACATTCCATGACTTGACGAGATTAGAGGGAAATTACTTTTAAAATGACAAACATCAAGCATAAAGTCTCCTTTCCTGGTAGAGACTCGATCAATTACTAAAACATATTGCAATGATCACTGGTATAGTCCACTTTGTAGAAAATTCTTTTTTGCATCTTTTGAAACCTTTTCTGACTGAATGAAATGATCTAACCACAAAAATTAGACTATTGTAATCTTCAGCATTGTTCACAAATGCATCAAAAAAATCAAAAAAATCAATTTAGTGCCGCGCGATGTCCTAATGCACTCTCTCTCTCTCTCTCTCTCTAAAGATTACAAAGAATGTCGTTAATAATAACTTACCACCATTAAATCATTAACCATTTTTCGATCAGATTCTTCACGTTGTTTAATATTTGTTGAAGATGATTGAAGAAGTTCATTTTCTTTTTGAAGTATTTCATTAGTTTTTAATAACTAAAAATAAATGGTTTGATTTTATTTTAATCTTTAGAAAATATTTAATTACTTCTTGATATCGACGTTCTTCGATTTTTAATGCATCACGAAATTCATCTTCAAGTTTTTTGTATTCAATTGCTAATGATTGTAATCTAAACATCAGTTATTTTTCATTAATTTTTTTTGAGAAAAAAAAAATATTTTATTTATATAGAGAAATTTACTAATCTAATGGAACTTTCAAATTATAATGAAGAAAAAGTAATCAGCAAGTGCTGAGGTCATTCTAGAATTTAATAACTTGTAAATAGTTAAAATGATACTAAAATATTATTCCAAAAGTTTTTAAAATTATGCTTTAGTATATTGAGTTACTTGTTAATACGTTGATCGACTTGAAAGTACTTATGAATACTTTAAAAAGGATTTGTTATTAAGTTAAAGTACACTTTTTCCCCCAGGGAACTATATCTGATGAAGTGATCATTATGTTTGTTCATATAAACTTTTTTACTACTAGAATCTCTACTCAATTAATGCGTAATATTCGATGTCTTTCATGTAAATCTTCTTAAATCCATTAGTTCAATTCTTTAGCAGAAGAGAGTTCTTCTTGTTCACGAGCTATAAATGCCATTTTTTTTTGTTTATTATGCGATTTATAGCATTTGGTCTAGAACATGGAGTTGCCAAAACTTCATTATTTACAATAAAATGAATTACATCACTTTCGAGTTTCAACTCTGTAGGAATTTCGTCAAAGATCATTTTTAATCTTTTCTGAAAATGTGAGCCGATCGAGTGAGTTACCATCGTCGTCACAACTAGAGATGTGCAGGACCAGAATCAACAAGAAAATTTTACTGGAACTGGAATTTGACACTATATGATGTTTTCAATTCTGTCAGTTTTTCCGTTAAGTTTTTCGTACATTATAAATCAATATATTATTGTCATTCTAATACCTTGTAATTCAAAAAGAAAAACACATTATGAGTATAGATATGTGTCACGAGTAACAATTTTGGTTTTAATTCCAGCGAACGAAACCGGTAGCAGGGTTGAAACAATTTGGAAATAGTTTTCTCTAGGCCGGGATCGAGATCTGAAAAACTATAATCACCGGAACCAAAAAAACAAATAAATCTTGCACATCACTAGTCGCAACACAAATTTATCTATCATTAATGACAACATTCACATTAAAAATGATCTTACTTTTCTTGTTGATGTGTTAATTCCGTTCGATGAATATCTTCTTTTCGTTGAATTTCTTGTTTAAGATATTGTTGTACTTCAGTTGCTTGTACATCAATTCGACATTTTTCAAGTTCTTGTCTAAAAAAAAAATAAAACAAAAGTCAATTAATTAAATGATTAATATTCTATTAACTTATGTTGAATTTCTCTTGTTGTATAAAGTTCTTGACATTCACGTAATTGTTGCTTAACTGTTTTTAATTCTTGTTGTAATGTTTCATTTTCATTTTGTAATGTATTGCTACGACGTTCCCAATTTCGAATTTTTTCATTCTAACAAAAAAAAAAATTACTTGATTAATTAGATAAGAAAGAAATTTGTTTTTTTATATACTTCAGTTATACGAAGTTCATTTTTTTCACTTTCTAATTTACTTAAACTACTTTCAAGAGTTTTAATTAATTGTAAATTTGTTTCATGAGCTTTTTTATATGAAGATAATTGATCTTCTGTGCTTCGAAGACGTGCCTATACAATATTTAAAAAAGAAATATTTATTTTTTTTTTCTTTGTTGAAAAAGAAAAATCTAATAGATTGTATTTCAATATTTACTTTATAATCATCGAGAATTGCAGTTAAATCTTGAAATTTCGATTTTTCATCCGCTAATCTTTGTTTATGTTTTTCTGATAATTCTTGTAAAATAGTTTCATTTGTTCGACCATCATTTGCTATAAATATAAATATAAATAATATTATTTAATTAAATGAAATAATAAAGAATTAAAATAAAACCTCGGTTTTTAAATTCATTAATAATATCATTTAAATGTTTTATTTCTTGTTCAGCACGCCAACGTTTATCACGTTCATTATCTAATTCACGTAATGTTGATGAATAAATTTCATTAATATCATCATTATCATTATCTCGACTTGATCGATAATTATATTCATCACAATCACGTTCACGTGTTGTATTATATAAATGTTTATGATGATTTATTGTAAATGGACGAGTATTTTCATCAATCATACTATGAGATTTTGTTTCAATTATTGCTGGTGGAGAAGAATTATTTAATGATATGGGATTTTTAGTACAAGTTTTTTTACTAAATTTAAAAAAAAAATCAAAAGAAAGTAAAATGATATTTTATTTTATTTTTTTTTGTACATACATTGTTGTTGGTTGTTGTCGAGGTGTAGATTGTATAACAGTATTGGTGATTGTTGATCGTGGTTTTAATCGAGAAGTTTTTGTTGGCATTGAATCCGATTCATTATCAGTGGATGGGGATCGAGCTGAATTAAGAACAAAAAAACAAATGAAAGAGAAATAAAAATTTTCATATTACTAAACCTGAACGTTTATCACGAGTTAGAGGACGACGAGTTGTATGCTTAAAATCAGTTTTTCTACTACGAGAAATACAATCACTTTCCACTGCCTGTAACAAAAATAAAATGATGAAATTTATTTATTCTTATTTTTCGTATAAAAAGATAATGGTCCTTTTATCAATAATAAAAATAAGAAGATGAAATTCGCTCAAATTGAGCATGAAAACAATCAATTGTGCACATATGATCGATGAAAAGAATTGTCTGACAATAATTTTTCAGTAAAAAATTTAAAATACCGAAAGAGATCCATTATGAATATCAGCACTTGTTGTTGTACTTGATTCCATAGGTTTTGGATTATGTCGAAGAGCATTAAGTGCTGCTGCTATTTTTGGATATTGTTGTGATATTGAATTTGTTACATCATGCTAAATTATTAAAGAGAATAATTCGAATTATTGATTAAAAGACATTTTTTTAAATAGCATACTAATTGTTCTCTTGTTTCATTTGTTAAACCAACATACTGTTCAATTCCTAAATAAAAACAAAAACAAAATCATAAATTAAATATTCTTCTTTTCTCCTAATAAATAACCTGTAAGACCTTGACTATTCATATCTTTTTTTCCATGTTTATCCATTCCATCAAGACTAATTAATGTTCGAAGACGGTTAAATAATGTAACTCGATAAGCTATTTATACAAAAACAAAAATAAATAAATAAAAATATGAATTTCTACCATCTTTTTTTGCTATTGGATTTTCTCTAAAAGTAAGATGTTGTAAATGAGAAAGACCGTTCATATTTTTAATAATATCATCCAATGAACTAATTGTAAAATATTAATCTGTATTTTTTTTTGTTTCTTATAAATAAATATATTCTTACTCAATGTTATTTCCATGCATTTGTATAATAGATAAATTATATTCAGGTCCCCAAAGATCTTGAAAACCTTGTAAATATTCAATTTTATTATATGATAAATTAAGCCATGATAATTTTCTAAATATGAGATCAAATAAAAATATAACAAAACTTTATTGTTTTTTTTGTTTTTGTTTTACTTTAATGCGAATAAACCTTCAACAATAACAATTTTATTCGATGCTAAATTTAATGTATCTAATGAAACAAGACCTTCAAGACCTTGTATACGTGTTATATTATTTGATGATAAATCAAGATGAGTTAAATAATTTAATCCAGTTAAACCATTTATTCGTTCAAGTTCATTTGAATGTAAATTAATTGAAAGTAAATTTTTATGTAAAGGAATTTCATCGATATTTCGAATACCATGTGCCATTAGACTAAGATCAGTTGATTTTGTATTAAACTGATCATTATTATTTAAATCAAAATCCATTATTTGATCTTAAGACTTTATATATATATATACAAATACTACATATACATCAATATTTTTAAAATAATAATCTCGTTGTAATTCAATTTGAATGACTCACTCATGGCTAAGAACGACCTCTATGCGCATTAATGTGATAAAATAAGAAGAAAAAACTCATTCAGAAAGGTGTTGACAAGGTTATACAAAACATGAATGGCTGTTGTACATAGTTTGTGCAGAACAGAACATTGATTAAGGTAACAACACATACAAATGGTGGTCAGCGTCGGACTCATGCCAAACAGGTATCATATATCGAGTTTACTAATTAATGATCAAGATAGATTTTATGCCTGTTGGATAATATCTATGATGAAAATTAGATGTTACGTACCATTTTTTATGCTCAAAAATATTCAGGATGAGAGACCCAGATCGAAGTGAATCCATCTGATCCTGTTCGATCGTCTTAGTACGGGCTAAAGCGCATAGAATGTATTGTTCTCATTATGTATAAATCAGTAAATATCAAGAGAATTAGTTTTTGTTTATTATTAACTATTTTAATTTTTCTGTCACGTATATAATTGATTACCTACGTTTTTTTGAATTTTTTATGAGCAAAATATAGATTAACATGTACGTTTAGAACTTACTTTATACATGAGTTATTCATTAAGAAATATATTTGTTGGTACGGAACATTTGCGAGATCAAATTTTTGATTTTAATGTTTATAGTTCAACATCGATGTCTTCATGTGATGTTCAAACAATAACTCGATTAGCTGAAGAAAAAATTCGTGTTAAAACGATTGCATTAGGTCTTCGTGTAACAGAATTTTTTCATGATTTTGATCGTCTTCGTTCGGGTTATGTTACTACATCACAATTTAAACGGTAAATATTAGAAAAAAAATTATTTTGATTTTTAATTTAATTATTATTATTCATGAAGATGTTTGGATACAAATCTACGTCTTCAATTATCACCTGAAGAAGAAGAATTACTCTTTAAAAAATATGATCTTAAACATGATGGATCGATTTGTTATCGAGAATTTTGTGATGTCATTAATCGAAGTAAGTCTAATGATAATAATTCGGAAAGTTTCTAATATAATCACAAATCAATTAAAGTATTTTTGTATTGTATCAATTCATTTGTATTTCTACTTGAAATCATCTGTTATAAGGAGTTAAAATATCAAGTAACAGATTAAAAGACATTCAGAACAAAAGAAAAATTCGCTTGAACGACATGTTGAATGCAAGACAAAGTGACAAGAAAATGTTTAGAGAATTATTTAGATCCTCGCACACTTAGTCAGAAGTTCTAGTTTTTCTCCAACCTCAAAGTCTGTTAAGCTGCGCTGTACCTTTGTAACAGGGAGAATATAACTAGTGTACATCAGTAAATATGTGCTATCAACGTTCGTCAATCCTCTAAATTAATTTTTACATAAAACCCCATGGCAAAGGAAAACTTTGATTTTCCATGTCAAAATACATTTTAAGAAATGGACTTTTCAGTTTTTTTACTATTCTTATTTCAAAGATTTCTTGGCCATTTTATATTCTGAAGACTTCGTATTGGTCTTAAATTGTAGAGAAGATTATTTTCTACAACTTAATATAGTCATCTTTTTCATATTTGACTTCTTAAAACAAAACTGATTCTGTTTGGTAAAATAGTTTCTAATTTGTTAGAATTTTTTCAGGAAAACTTTTATCAGAAGTAAAGAAGCAACATTTCGAAATGTCAAACCTTGTTAAGTTGTAGAAGCAAATTTTCGATCATTCATATGATAATAACTCTTGACGAGTTCAATAAGTTAAGCTGAAAGTTTTTACTGTACAGTCTGACACATTTTCTTTAAAAGTTATAGCCATATATTTCGCTCTTAGACAAAATTAGATTTCAGACTGAGACGGAGGAACGAAAAAAAAAATGACGAATCTACGTGTTCGCATTGGACATCTACGAGATGATGATCATCAAAATAATGGCGTTCCGTCTCGCATCTAGCATAAACTTTTTCCTGTATTATTTCGACTAGGATATCAGCTTTCTCATAACTCATTGCTCGAGCATTATCATAACTGGATACAAATGCAAAAATGAAATGTCTTCTTGTAGCTGAATGAAAAGTTCAAAACATCAATTCTAAATGATGTAAATCTTTCTTTGGAATATTGAGATGATAGTAAACTAAAAAGTGCCATTCTGGGACATAAGCAGGTCTTTGAAAAATCGGTTTTGAGAAGACAGTTTTTTCGAATCGGATTTTACTGCAAATTTCACCACAGATGTAGTTTATGGTGTGAAGTCTGTCCTGGAATTCTCAACTGTTTCAGCATAATGTGGGTGTGGTGGTGTGGGTGGTAGGTGTTCGCGTTCTTCTCATCACCACCCCCCCCCCCACCCCCACACCCCACCTCACAAGACTCCGCAGTGNCCCAAAATAAGAAGGCCCGATAGTTCAGTGTTGTAGAAGTGAGAGTGATGTGAAATATGAATAATAGAGAGGAACGACAGTGTATTTATACATGCGCGCTAAGTTAACGATCAGCTGCGTGTTCAGAGCCATCGCGCGTCTGTCTATACATAATAATAGAACCGCAGAGCACAATGAAGTAGAATGATACGCGGTGGACGATGACCATGGTTGATGTAGACAACCATAAACATTTATGAAAGAATATTATCCTTCCCCCTTTGTTATAAGGATATTGGAGATTTTTCCAGATTTTTGTTTTCCGGTTTTTTTCTTTTCCGGATTTTTACTTTCCGGATTCCAGGACATATTCTTTTCTACCATATATATATAAGTGCCATACAAAACAGCTGAGTTTGTATCAATTGTCAAACATTTATAGAACTCGATTGCTATCACTGAATACCTTATTTTAATACATTCAGATCAGTAAATGTTGGGCTTACTTTCAGATTGCTTCGAGAGAATAAGCCACTAACTCTTAGATTCGATCTTTCTATCCCAAGTCTAACTCTACTCCACTTTGTAGCTCAGTTTTTTTATGTGATGTTTTATTTCTGACATTAAAACTTCTATTTCAGAATATCCTGAAACAACAATAACATCACATCCAGAAAATTTTACAAATGCTGCTCCCCCATATCTCAATTCATGGCGTTCAACTCGTCATATAGGTACCCAAGATGAAAGTGAACGTTTACAAAATGTTCTTCAACGTATTGCTACTTATTGTAAACAACGTGGTATTGATGTTTTATCAATAATGGAACAATATGATAAACATAAAATGGGTGAAATAACTGATAGTCAATTTTATCGTGCTTTTGTTGGACCACAATTAACTGAAGCTGATATGACACTTCTTCGAGATAAATATTCCGATCCAGGAAAACCAGGTTTAATTAATTATTTAAATTTTGTTCAAGATCTTAATACATATGCACGTACAAGTGAAACAACATTTCCTCAAACTGATAGCAACAATGTTCAACAAATACCATTTGTCGGTGTTGAAGAAAGAGTAAAACTTTTTTTTTTAAACTTAAATTGCTCAAAACTAGAATTTTGCTTTTCATAGCCTGAACAACGTTCAGTACAAGAAATTCTAGATAAAATTCGTATAGCAACATTTAAATACGGCATACGTATATCAGATTTTTTTAAAGATTATGATAAATTACGTAGTGGAATTATAACTGAAGGTCAATTTGAAAGTGCACTTTCATTAAGTGTACAAAAACAAGCTTTTCTTAATATGAATGATATTAAAAAAATAGCTGAATATTATCGAAGACCTGATGGTCGAGTTTATTATAAAGAATTTGTTGATTCAATGGAAAATGCTTTTAATATTCCTGAATTAGAAAAAAAACCATTAACACAAGTTTCTCGACCAGGACGCGGACTTTTATCAAAAGTAAGATAATTAAATAAATAAATATATTTATTGAATTATTCTTTAGCCATTGAATACAAATTTAACGTCCGATGAAGAAGATCATGTATCGCGTATACTCGATACAATTACTGAAAAAGTACAAAAACGTCGTTTAGTTCTTTTTTCATTTTTTAAACCATATGATCGAGTAAATCTTTCTTTATGTTAAAAACTCAAATTCATATGTTTTGTTTTTTTGCAGAGTAAAGCTTTCACACGAGCTTGTACGAAACATCAATTTGGACGTGTACTTCGAACACTTGATTTAATTCCATCACCTTATGATTTCAATATACTGTGTAAAAAATTTGAAGACCGAGAAACAGGAGATATTAATTATGCTTTATTTTGTCAAATGATTGAACAAGGTATGAGAAAAATATAAAAGGCAATATTTGATAGAATGTAAATGGCTGCATATCGGATATATGAAAGATGGGTACTCTTAACATATTGTAACACATTGTGTTCAGTGACTAATTTTGAGAATGAATATTGAAGGTGAACATTTCTTCTTTGAGAAAAGCTTTTGCGATTTTCTCAAATATAAATGCATAAATTACCTGAGATATAACTTGAAAAAATCTCTTTCTGATAAAGTGTCTCGTCTTTCTCCGTGACATTCTACAATTGTCAATTTATTGTGTTTTCTACTGTCTAATAGCTAAGAATGATTCGTTTGAAAACGATATTTTTATTGAATAGATTTTGTGGCGATTAAAATTGAACCAGAAGAAGAATTTCCATTTGAACGTGCTCGAATTGATGAAGAACAAAAGCAAGAAAAATTAAAAGTTAAAATTGATACATCCAATGTTAATCTAAACGATTTAATGGGCCGTATTCGACATCATGTTCTTATTCATCGAATTCGCGTATATGAAATAAATAATACATTAATAATGAATTTATATTGTTTGTTTTTTTCTTCATATAGGTAAAAGAATTTTTTGAAGATTTTGATCCTCTTCGTTTGGGTACAATAAGTCAATCACGATTTATTCGTGTTTTGGCTAGTTTAGGTTTAACTGGTCTTGATGGAGTTCCATTGACTCAAGCACAAATGCTTGCTTTATGTGATCATTATCGTCATCCAGATCAACATGATCTTGTTCTATGGAAACAATTCGAACAAGATGTTGAATCAGGTTTCTTATTATATATTACATTATAAAAATAAATATGTTCTTTTTGTTTGTTTTTATTTAATTAAACAGTTTTTACATTAAGTGATTTGGAAAAATCACCGACTATTCAAGTTTCACCACAAACTATATATGAAATGCCAACAGCTGGTACACCTGATTGGTCTAATATTGATCCATTTAATAATGAAGAATTACATCAAGCAATGCAAAATTGGAAGACAAAATGTGAACAACGACGTATTGAGATTGTTCAACCATTTCAACAATTTGACAAGTAAATTTAAATAAGAAACTCAATTAATAAAAGAAAATCTCACTAAAAATATACCACATTTTCAATAATAAATTTTATTTAAAATATTTTATTATCTAACTTCCTATGTGATTCGAACCATATAAAAACCGCCAATAAACCGTTTAGTATAATTTGCGCCACATCGCCAGTACTTTGATACTTAAGAGAGTAATCATGAGACCTCTGAGTAAAGGAGCACTAAATTTTAAAAAAATTCGTTTCCTTGTTTTTTAAGGATTGATGCTTGAAACAAGTAACCCCAAAATTTTAGCAACCAATATATTAATTTCTTTCAAAAGTTAGAATGTTGATAGACTCAAATTTTATAAGATGAACACGGAAAAAAATAAATTATACCTTATGGAGCGAAACGAGGTTCACATCTCTCTCTTACATAATGATTTTTCAATAGAAAACATTTTTAGCAGTTTTCATGGCCATGACATAATTGTAAAGTAAAACAAACACAAAAGTCTGAGTCAGCATCAAAAGCTGTACTTATTGAAAAAATTTTTGAAACATTTTTTTCCTATAAAAACTGATCTCTGAGAGACCACGAGGCAAAATTTTAATAAAATACAGCCGTAGAGAACACAAGTGAGTTTTTCATAAGAAAAAATTTCTTTTAAAATATGTCTGATTCAGTGTAGGTTTTTGACGCTAACTCCAACTGTTGTGTTTATTTTACTCAGCAATTGTGTCATAACAAGAATAACTGCTAAAAATGTTTTCTATTGAAAAATCATTATGTAAGAGAGATATGTAAACCTCGTTTCGCTTCAAAGGTAAAAAATTTGAATGATTTATTGAAACGAAAACAATCACAACTATTCCAAGATATCATTTTCTGTTTTATTTTTCTTATAAACATATGATAATAGTAAGAAGTCGGTATTAACTAATTTTTTGAAAGAAATGGTATTGGCCACTAAATATTTTGAGATTACTTGTTTCAAACATTCATGTGTTGCGTTTAATTCGCAAAAAAAGAATTTTCTTCAATACCTCGTATACTCGATGATCTCATGATTACTCTTGCAAATTGTCGACTATCCATCCTCTAACCGTGATTCTACCATGGTATATTAATAGTTGTTCTCTGACCTACCACCATTGACTGTCGGTATATCGGGGGTAGTACGAATAAACGTGCGACATGTATTTTCATTAATAAAATTTTGTTTAGACATAATCGTGGACATGTAACACGAATACAATTTCGTCAATGTTTAGCTATAGCTGGTTTAACTTATACAGAAAAAGAATTACAAGCTGTTGAAGCAGCTTTTATTGATGATGATGGTTTTGCTTATCGTCGTTTTCTTGAATGGATTCAACCAAGACGTCGTGATCCTCTTCGTTATAATATTTTACAAGAAGAACTTAAAAGTTTGAATAAACAAAAAGTTTTACCTGATATGAAATCATTAACAAGTATTCAAGATATTTTACAAAAAGTTAAAGGACAGGTAAACATATTGATTTATTTCGTTTTTTTTTCTATTATCTTAAATATATGTTTGACTAATTATGTATTTAAAAAAAAAATGAACTTGTTCTTTAAAGGTATTTCGTCGTCGTATTCGTCTATATGAATGGCTTAAAGATCATGATAAACTAAATTGTGGTCGATTATCTTTTGATACATTTCGTCGTGCTATAAATCCATGTCAGTTAGAATTAACAGAAAGTGAATTATCTTTACTTGAAGATTAGTAAGTTCATTGTTTTTTTGAAAATTTTACTTCATTTTGTTCACTGAGTGATTTACCATCGAAAAAGTCTAGTAAATTTTTTATTGTTGTTTCAGCAATATTTTTTAAAGCTTCTTCAGTAAGAAATGCTTGATGAGATGTAACGATTGTATTTGGCATTGAAATTAAATGAGCTAGTGTATCATCATCTATAACCTATAAAGAATATTTTATATAATAGAAAAAAAAATTAATTTAATAAAAAATAAAATTACTTCTTGACTAAAGTCATTGAAAAAGTAATCTTTCTCATTTTCATATACATCTATAGCAGCACCTCGTAATTTTCCTGATTTAAGACCATCAACAAGAGCTTTTGTATCGACTAATCCACCACGACTTGTATTAATTAACAAAGCACCTTGTTTCATTTTTTCTAAAGCTTCTCTATTAATTAAATGATAAGTTGAATCAAGTAATGGAGCATAAAGTGATACTAAAAATAAAAATTGATTTCTAAGATAGATAGATAAATATTTATTTATTATACCAATATCACTTTGTTGAAGTAATTCATCCATAGTAACATATGTAAAACCTTTTTCTTTTGCGACTTGTTCATTTGGTAAAATATCATAAGCTAAAACTTTACAACCAAAACCCAAAAAAATATTAATTGCACACATACCAATACCACCTGTTCCAATAATGCCAACCGTTTTACCAAAAAGATCAATACCAACAAGACCATCCAAAGTAAAATTATGTTGTTTTGTTCGATAAAATGCATGATGTAAATTACGATTAAGTGAAAGTAAAAGAGCTACGGAATGTTCAGCAACAGCATATGGTGAATATCGTGGTACACGGCATACTTTAAAACTATATTTTTCCGCTGCTTCTAAATCTACATGATTAAATCCTGCACTTCGTAATGCAATTATTTTAACTGTATTACATTGTTTATGTAATTCTTCAATGATATTTGCATTGAGAATATCATTTACAAATACACATATAGCATCGAAACCTTTAGCTTGATCGACTGTTTCATCAGTTAATTTACTTCCGAGAAATGTAAAACGAAGTTTCTGTTGACCATTTAATTCTTTTAAAGCTTGTCTAAAGGCTTTTTCATCATATAATTTCGAATCAAAAATGAGAACTCTACGTTGTGACATTTTGGTTTTTTTTTCTCTAAAATATAGTAATTCAACAAAGTAATATGTGTTATTCAACGAAATCAATCGCAATTGTCTATTTACCTTGATTAGTATTTTATCTTTTTTTTACTCTACAAATAGTTTTTTTGTCTTTGTTTTTCGATGTAATATATGTCAGTTATTTTTGGCTACAAGAGACAGAGGAAAATGACTATAAAAGTAGTGCCCAAATAAACGAAGAAAAAAAAAAGGAAAGAAAAGAATAACGAAAGCACATTGATCACGAAGAAAAAAAACGCACGAGACTGAAGAATAGAAAAAAAAATCTTTCTATGACAATGATATTAATATTGATAAAGACATTACTCGAAAGATGTCTACGTACGAATTTTATTCATGAAATATTATTATCTTAAGCATATCTATAAATAAGAATCTTTTTTTTTGTCATTATAATTTCATTCAATAGGAAAAAAAATCAAATTGCATTAGGTTGTAAAGTATTACTAACCACTATATCTGACCAAGGTACCTTTTTTTTGTAATAGTACTTCTGTAAGAAATTGAATCAAGTATAAACATAATTTGTTATTAAAAGAAAAAAACTTTCATCATTTCAAAAGACCAGAAATTCTTTGAGGAATTAATTATATGTCTATTAATTTATAGCATTAGAATTTATAAATTTTTTTATTAAAATAATAAGAACAATCAGATGCTGTTTCATTGAATATCATTGTCTACTATTATCAATTGCGAATTAATCATTTATTTTATTAAAAGTTTTTCTTTTCGATCTGATAAGTGTTAAAAGACAACTTGATCGATTTCTAATCTTATTATCTGAATGTTGAAATACTTATTACAATATCTAGTCCCTTTTAAGCGTTTTTCATGAAATTTTTAAGTTAGATTCACTTTAATCAATATTTTCAGAAGAGTAATCTTCCCAACTTGAAAATTACTTTTGAGTTCGAACTCTGTACACAAGGTAGAGCATTTATGAGCTATGAAAACCATGGAAAAATAAGGAACGGTAGACCTTTCTTATAAAGTTCTATACGTTTTACTGAAGTTTCAGCCTGTAGCAGGGTATCTACAAAATAATCGAATGAAAATATTTTGACCGAATATCATATCTATAGGTAGGCCTGTTTCGTCGTTATTCAATTCTTTTCTGCATATCATGCTAAAAGCTAAAATTGGATTAAAATGGTTATAATTTTGTAGGAAATATCTAAGAGGATCATTATCTTTTTCGATTTGTAATGCCTTAACAAGATTTACCATATAAACAATGTTCAAACTCAAAAGCGATTTTCGAGTTAAAAAGATTTTTTCGTCAAAATTCTATGACGTATCATCTACAAATAAATTACTTTTATTAGTCGTTCAATATGCAGTAAAACTTCTTTATAGTAAACACTCTTCTGACTTTTTCAAAAATGTCTACTAAACGAAAGTGTTCACTATGGAAGATTTTACTGTATATTTGAGTTAATAGGCTTTGTCTAAACAAATCTTGAACATTGAAGGTTCAAGAAGAGAAAGGGCTTAGCCAATTTCGGATAGGAGGACGGAGTCAAAGTATACGATTTTCATCTGTACATCATTTTATGGATGATCTCTATTCTATATTTAACAAAAACACAAAAAACTATCGTATTTGTTTTCATTATTGTGCTTTGTTTTTTTTCAGCTATCGATCACGTGTTGATGTTAATGCGATTGAATATAAAAAATTCTGTGATGAAATTGAATCAATATTTACAACAGATTCTCTGGAAAAAAATCCACTTGTTAATTCTGAACAATATGTAGCAATGAAAGATGCAACAAATATTCAGTTAGATCCCGATAAAGAAGATCGAGTGGCAAATCTTATGGATAAAATGGCAAAACGTGTAAGTTTAACAGTCATATTTTTTATGTTTTTAATAAACAAAAACAAAATATTTATTTTTATATTTTTGAATAAAAAAAAAAAGGTTCATTCACGTCGTATGCAATTATTTCCATTATTTGAAGATTTTGATCGTGTTCGTAATGGTCATGTTACACAAAATCAATTTTTACGTGTTTTAAATGATCTTGGTTTATTAACATTATTAAATGGTTTTGAAAAAGATAATTTATTGGAAAAATTTCGTGTGAGAGTTGGTGGACGTGATGATATTGATTATATAACTTTTTGTCATGAACTCAATGCCTTAGCTGGTTTCGAAGCTGGAATACCATAACAAAACAAGCACTTTTATTTTGGTTTCTTTTTGACTTTCGAATAAAGACACATATGATTTCACATATTTATTTTTATTCTTTTTTTTTTCTTTTGAGCAAACGAAAAATAAAATGAAAATATCTCCACTTGAAGGTACATTTGTCGATTTTCGATATATAAGATTTAGATATGATTTTTTTTCTGATATAATTAGCTTCTAATGTCTATGACAGAATTAAAGAGAATTGAGTGTAAACTCAATAGCTCGACAATGCCAACAGCTACTGATCTTTCGTTTTCATCCATTGTGCGAGTAGAACTCCGGACGTCTTTTTGTCTGATTTTTTATAAGATAAAATTATTTTAAAATTCATCATCTTCACAAAACATTCAAAAATATTGCACAAAAATGGTGTTTTGTTTCAAGAAAATTTACTAAAAATTAACACAATTCCCTAGAATTTAATTGAATAGATATGTAATTTTGCGTGCTCATTATAGATATATGAGAAGATAATCACCTGAATCATGCCCAGAGCCATAGGCTTGAACCTTCCCTATCTTAAGTACATGTCTAAATCAAAAGAATAGGAGCTCATAAGGGCCCTTGTTGGATCTAATGCGGAATTTCATGAAGAATCGTTTGGTAACAAAATACAGCGATGTAAAGATAAGAAATTTTCAATTGAAAGTTATGTTGATCGACTGTCCATCCTAACGCCTTTCTCTTGTAAAAATGTCAACTCGAACGGTTGAAATGTTATTGCGTAATGATGTAAATATTGTTCGAAATGAACATGAAAATCATATAGTCTTTTTATCATTTCTATTCATTATTGTCTTAATCTCTCGAAAAACAAAAGAACGACTTGGATTTTTATTTGATTCTGACAGTTCGTAAGAAGAACTGTAACACCAGATATTTTTGAATTTTTTATAATTGATCTTGATTAAATAAGACGACTTGAATTTCGTTCAGACACCAATTTTTTTTCATCAGTCTTAAACAGATTTTGATTGGAAACAGTAAAATTTGAATCAAAACGAATAAAATATTTGGAATCAGTATAAAACAAAACTTTGTCTAACTTTTTCGACGGACTATTGTTTTTTCTTGAAAAGCCTCAGTTTTGGCCACTTTCAGGATTTAGTCAAAATGAATGTAATGAAAACAATCTTTATATTGTTTAATTATTTATTCTTTTGTCTCTTACTGACATTTTACAGGCTCAGATTTTGTTTTCCAATGATTAAGTGTTTTTCTAATTAAATTTATTTCTTGACTAGATTATTCCTTTCTTGAAGTATTGAAAAAACAGTGAACAGAAATTGTAACATAACTGTATGATTTTTATGCTTATTCCGATGATATTTATATCAGTGTTCAGTAATCCTTCAGCAGCTCGAGTTGAAACTTTTACCAGGAAAAGACTAGAACGGATAATCAATTGATATAGTTCTCAGTTGGACATGTCTTGCAAGGAAAAATATTTAAGTATCGAACGCCTTTCAACTTCCTATTGTGGCAATGAGTTAGTCTCGATAAGACTAAGAAAAGTTTAAAAGGATTCGGGGCTATGATCTACTGATGAAGAGTTATAGTCGTTTAAATGCAATTTTTATTGAGAACAAGATATTTTCGAAAAATCAAAAACAAAAAGTTTCGAGCTGAAATTTAGTCTAACGATAGATTTGATAGTTATTATATAATCCTGGAGTTTTCAACGAAAACAATTATGTCTCTCTCGAGATATTCAATTTTCGAGTAGACTTGATCATTATTTCCTTCTAAGATAAATCGCTTTTTTGTTTTGGCGATGAAAAATCTCGTGAAAGACGTGTTTATTTACATTAAAACTTTCACAACTATGTGATGACTATCAAATTTGTCGTAAGACAAAATTTCAGCTCGAAACTCTTTGTCTAGGATTTTTTGATAATGGTTATCTTTTAGCAAAAGTTTCATTTAACCTATCAGAATTCTTCATTAGTAGATCGTGAGAACGAATTTCTTTTAAGTTTTTCCTAATCTCAATTAGATCTACTCGTACTCATGTTTTGAAGTCGAATGGCGTTCGACAGTTGGCTATGTCTCATCGTTAGTATGAGAAAATTTATATGATCTATTGTTCCATGTATGACTCATGCAGTGGTGATATAAACGTGAGTATCAATAAATTAGACAAACAAGGGGCCTATATCGTTCAGAAACCGATTTCTTTTGTTATCAAATGATTTATCATGAAATTTTGGATAATTTAAACTATGGATGCCTAGGTGAATGAGATAAGATATGTTTCAGTCAGAAAAGTCTTTTCTGCGGGCTTCCGTCGGAATCATTGACCTAGGCGGAGAAAAATTAAAGTTGACACAGAAATATTCTTTATGTTCTCATGTCCTTTCCTTGAAGCAGAACGCCGTTTTCGTCCAATGTTTTGGAAATTTTTCGAAAATGATAGGCTTTAAAATAGTTTTGTCTTATTTCATATCAGACAATACGATATTCGAAGGTTGCTATTTCAATCTATTACAATTCCTAGTCGATATGTGTTGATATTGTTGAGTTATTGAACATATACCCATTTGTCTTTAATTCTGGCGCGGATTCTACTAGGCTTTATTCATAGGCGGCGGAGCGACTTTAACCTAGGGGAGGCTCAACATTTTTTTCGAGATGATCATGGAAGGTCAGTTTAAAAATGAGCGAATTTCTAGCTTGGTAACTTATACTCCATTGAAAATATATTTCTGTATCTGTTCGTTATAGAACTAGGAACATAATAAAGAAACTCACTAGAACAGTAACTTTTTCACTGCACGAGTAGCGCATATCTAGAAAGCTTAAATCTAATCTGAAATTTATAGGGTAAACAGAGCCAAAAAACATTATTGACAATCAGAAAAAAATTTCTACTGTATTTCTTTTTGCAAACAAAATCAGAGCAGATGTTATTTAGCCCAGTTTATCTAATATTTGTTTACTAATATCAGGAATAAGGGCACAATTTTAAAGTCGTTTTCACATGCTTGATCATAGAGCATTTATTTATTCTATTCCTATTATTTAAAGCTCTTCCATCTTTTGCCGTTGTGAAGCGAAGTGTCAAATATGCAAGTATTAATGTTTTGAATTCATAGATAATAGTTTTCTAGTAGATTACACATTGAGCACATTACAGATAGTTTGAATTTTTGCAATTATCTTGACATCGACATTACTTTCTAAGTTAATGATGAAAAAATGATCAGATAATATGTTCGTTTCATTTTCTAAACGTTGCTTGTTACGATCATTATACAAGTTAATTTATGATGTATTTGAACTAATTCCACGATTATTATCAACTACATCAATTTTCTTGTTTGTTTTTATTTTCAAAAAAGATGTAGTTCGAAGCTGTTTAGCTGACCTTTTGTTTGTCAAAAAATTACTGTTTGTTTATTACTCAAAATATCTTGTATAACACTGAAGCGGTAAAACACTTAAATGACGAAAAAGCCATCTGTTCTATAGATAAATCCGACGGGTTGGCTCTTCTTCCATATTAATGAGTCACTAGTTGTAAAATATTCAGATACTTTAAAAAGAAATTCACTCGTAGATCCCAGTCAAACATAATTTTAAAAAGCATGCATGCAAATGCGCGATAATGGGCCCGTGTCCACGCATGTATTACTATAGCCTTGCATGCGCGTAAACGCGTCATAGGGTAAACTATATTCGCGTGCGCACGCAAAACTTTGGAATGCTTACACGCAAGTTTCCGCCTGTATAAATTTTGCAGCATCACGCATGCTCAGCAAAAAAATATTTAAAAATGAATGATATCATGTATACGATGTACTGCCATTTACACGCATGAAATACTTACTCTGTAGGCATGTACACACATGTAAAATATGAAGATAATACTTACATACGTATTCGAACTTGACATATTGTCTTGACAGACGAACATTCTTACCATTCGACCAATGATCGATATTCATTAGTATTGAGAAAATAATGTCACTTATTCGTGATAGGACACGCAAACTCCTCTGAGTAAAAGATTCTTGTACATGCGACGATTTAAGAGAGCAAGCATGAGCAGATCGAGAATCACCAAAACATGATTTTTTGCAACATGCCATTTTTTTTATTTCATTCGATTCTACGTGAAAAGCTGTGGGAATGAAAATTTTTTTAGGCCTTAATACTTTATACTCACGGAGTTATAGACATTTCAACATAGGAACCCCTCAAAAGTGCGCAAAACAACTTCTATTTAGTATTTTGTTAATTTTTGAAGCCAACATAAGTCAGACAATTTTGAGCAACATCTCATTTGAAAGAGCGTGTAAAACTACACCGATTGATATATTTAACGTTTCTGAACTGTTGTATTCTTTTTAAAAAAATTTTGATTTGTTCCAAAAATTTTTTATTATTTTTTTTAAGAAATTTTTGCGTAAAGAATATTGTGCTTGCATGAGTCACATTTAAAACTAAATACATGTTATTCAGAAAATAAAATATATACCTTCATGCAAGTATATTAGGAAAAGGATAAAAAGGCGTACTCCATGAACTTTTCAAATTGCTCATTTTTCCTAAGTTCCGAGCATAAAAACTAAAGAACCATTTTTGCCACGTATGGCATGCGCTCATATGTGTCTGAAGTTACATTTTTTCGTGCACATATATACAAAGTTTGAAAAGACTACACCTACGACTGCACCTGCCATGCATGTGCATGCAGGTAAAACTGTTGTGTTTACATGGAAATCATATTTCTTGCATAAATTTGCAAGAATACAGCTGGCGAGCAAACGCAAGCACGAAATTCTGCATGTTTGTACGTGTTTTCTTAAAAAGTCTGTAAACTTGTGTTCGCATGCATGTATTTCTGTCACGCGTGTGTGTACAAGTGCCATTGCCTTGCGTTTACACACAAGATTCGAATATTTTAAAAGAAACATGCGTGCTCCAGCTCAAAAGTCGAGCGAACCAAAAATATCCTACATGCACAGGCAAGATTCTTGAATTTCCTCGTGTAGCAACGCATGTTTTCGAAATTTACGTTCGACTGGGGATATCGGGTCATTCAACCTCAGAATGAATCTACCTTTCAGAATGTAAGTTTTTATGTATTTTGGTTGAACGTCGTTCTGATTTATTTCAATAACACAAATCACGTAAGGCATAAAGGTATAGATGAAAAGACAAAACAGCGAACAACATATCTATGTTCATATATATATTCGTATAGAGACGCGTACAAGAAAAAAGGAAAATTTCAATGTCGCATATGTGAAGACAGAAAAATCTGAAGACATGAAATGACCGAGTTCGTTGGAACAATGGCCATATGTCATGCACTAACACATATTGGATGAATCGTTGACATAAAAATACAAGACTATTCTAGTTCGCAGAGTTCTCTGTAATGCAGCGGCGGATCTAGGAAATTTTCAATATGGGGCGATTATGCTCATAAAACGTATTTTGAAGCTCTATAGAGGTAGTTTCAGCTCAATTTTAACCATTTTCTACTAGAAAAAAGCAATCTTTTGCTGTGTCTATATGGGCCGATCGCCCCAAGCGCCCCCCCCCCCCTAAATCCGCCACTGTTGTAACAAAGTATAAAATAACGATGAGACCCTTCAAATGTTTTCAAATATTTGAGCCTCCCCAAGCCTAATGTCTCCGCCGCCTATGGCTTTATTTATACTTCAAGAAAAAATAGATAAGAATTTTATGTAAAACTCATTGTAATATATTTATTTGAGTAATAGTAGTTTTAAAACAATATTCAAGATAAATAAAATTTTGTAACTATTCACATAAAATTTGCGAAAAAAATATCTGTGAACAATTGTGGAATTATAATTAAATCAAGTATATATGATTGAGGAGATTTTGAAATATTTACTGGAAACAACAATTAAATTTTGTGGATCTTTTTGTTTTGCTTAGGTTTTTTCTTTTTGTTCATGAAAAAAGTCAAGTAAACTTTGAACAATTGACTCAGCAATTTTTTTTAATGCTTCTTCGGTAAGAAATGCTTGATGAGATGTAACGATTGTATTTGGCATAGAAATTAAACGAGCTAACGTATCATCATCCATAACCTAAAATAAAACAAATTTTATTTAGATAAATATCAAAGATAAAAGAATTTTTTTTTATCTTACTGTTTGACTAAAATCATTGAAAAAATATTTTTCTTCAAATTCATATACATCCAAAGCTGCACCTCGTAATTTTTTTGACTTAAGACACTCTAAAAGTGCGTTAGTGTCTACTAAAGGACCACGGCTTGTGTTAATTAACATAGCACCTTGTTTCATTTTGTCAAAAGCAGCTTTATCAATTAAATGATATGTTGATTTGTTTAATGGTGCATACAGAGAAACTAAATAACAAAATTTTATTATTATTCAAAAAAAAACAACTTATTGTTATTTGCTCACTAATATCACTTTTTTGAAGTAATTCATCCATTGTTACATATTCGAAAGCTTTTATTTTCGCTGCTTCTTCATCAGGTTTAATATCGTAACATAAAACTTTACAACCAAAACCTAAAAATATATCTACCGCACACATTCCTACACCGCCTGTTCCAATAATGCCAACTGTTTTTCCAAAAACATCAGTACCAACAAGACCATCCAAAGTAAAATTATGTTGTTTTGTTCGAAAAAATGCATGATGCATACTACGATTAAGTGAAAGTAAAAGAGCTAAGGAATGTTCAGCCACAGCATGTGGTGAATAACTTGGTACACGACACACTTCAATGCCATATTTTTTAGCTATTTCTATTGATGAACCACTATATCCAGCACTTCGTAAAGCAATTATTTTAACTGAATGACAATGTTTATGTAATTTTTCAATAATATTTATATTTCGAGCATCTCGATTAATAATACTGTTAGCGTCAATAGAGGTCACTCTATTACCGCTAACTGTCCAGTTGTTATATAGTGATTTTCCTCCTTCTTCTCTATGGTCCATATATGTATTTCCATTGGACTTTCCACTATTTATCTATATATATGTTTTTCTCTGTTCAGTTGTTGTTTTTCTCTTTACCGGTGATACACATATCTGATATTCTATCCTATTGTTTTTCCTATCTTTTTCCTCTTTTCCATTATTAAATATATTACATTGTTATATTAGTGTTTATATTAACACTAAATAAAATCTTTCTTTATC